GGTCCCAAGCACCCCATCCCCAGGTCACTGAGATCCACGAATCATGTCCTCCAGTCTTTGGCTCCCTCCCCATGGCAAACAATACCTTTCCCCTCTTCCAGTACCTACCTAGAAACACAGCTATTTAATCTGAAAGCATTACAAATCTAATTAGTGATATTGCAAAGGGCACATCCTGAGACTCACCGAGAAGGTGTGGAGAACTCTTGCTGGAAAATGTCCTCCAGTTTCTCTACCACTTCATCTGTGCTAAGAGGAATGAGGCTGCCATAGGTCTGAAGAAATTCATCTAGGATGCCTAGGAAAGAAGGGCAGGAAGGACTAAGTTGATTGGGCCTCTGGACTCCAATCTGAAAGTAACATGGAAAACACTAGAACTTGGAAGAAAAAGAGGACATCTTGGTCTAAACCCAAGGGTACCAGGGCATGTCCTTACTCTGTACGCAGGTCACATGCTCCTCCCGAAGGGGGCTATGCTGCCCAGCCTTTTCGCCTGGACGCTCCTCAGCAGGTCCTAATTCAGATCCTTGGAACAGCTCTTGGGCAGTCCGGTCTCCAATGCTGCATACATTACTGATAAGGATGCTAGCATCAGGAGGTGCCAGGCCAAGCTCCCCATCCAGTCCAGATGTTCCCCCAAAGCCATTAGGCAGAGAGCATGGAAGGAGACCTGCATGGTAAGGAAGAAAATTTGGGCAAGGGAGATAGGGTTGGGGTAAACAGCAATAGGGAAAGCAGGTGGACTAAAACTGAGAAAAGCCAAGAAGTTACAGGTTGAAAGAACAAAGTCATTTGCAAAGATGGACAGCCAGTGGAAAAGAATATGAAAAGGAATTGGGGAAAGCTACAAGAAAGCCCAAAGATGAGAAGTGGGCTGAATGAATCTCTCCTGTAAGGTATAAGGGTATAAAAAACTGGTTATTCCCCTCCTCAAAAACGTATTCTTTCCGCTCCAGAAAGGATTTCCTTCCCAGGAAACTTGTTCAATACCTCCATTTAACCACCCTTGGATCCAGCTCTGACTTTCTGCCATAGTCTCAGGTTCCCAAGTCTCACCCAAGCAAAACATGGGATATTACTGCATTCCCTACCATCTCTAATTCCTATGCTGGAATCCAGCTTTTCTATTCTCTAGGCCCCATCCAGTCTCACCACTCATCCAAGACTCAATTGAGTGATTAAATAAATGCTTTTCTTTCATTCAAACATCCTATCCCTGAGGATCACCACTGTTCAGTGATGATTCCAGGCATTCTGGTTTCCCAGGCCTCAAGTCCAAGACATCTTGCTCTGTTTAATCCTCTTCTGCCCTACCTACCTGTATCAGCTTCCAGAGGCTGGGGGGACCTCTGGGTCCACTCATGTCCATCTTCCTCCTGAGATGACCCACTGGGCAATGTGGGAGATCCCCTAACCCCTTCTTCAGACATCAGTGCCCCTAAAAGCCCCAGCCCAGCTTGGGGAGGCCCCCTTGGTGAGTCAAGCCTGCAGCTGGGGGATGTGGCAGGAGGGGCTGCTCCTCCTTCCCGTGGAGGGAGGAGGTTCTTGGGGTGTGGAGGGCCTCGCCGCCGACCCCTCAGTCGACCCCACAGCTTCCAGTGGAATGTCAAGGAGGAGCTCTTAGAGTACAGCAGCATTCGAAAGGCTCTCATAGCTCGGCGGCGCCGCTGAGAACAAGCTCTACGAGGTTGAGGACGGGAAGGACGGGGGTGCTGAGGAGTTCCTAGCTGGCCCCAGCCTGAGGGAAGTCCCCAGGCTACCACTTCCTCCTCCTCCTCCTCCTCTTCTTCATCATCCTCATCATCCTCTTCACTGGCTGAAGCATCAAATGAGGGCCGAGGGGTAGGGAGTCGATGGGCAGGAACTGTGGTCCCTGTCCCTGTGTCTGGCCCAAACCCCCCACCCGACTTTAATAGTGGTTTGGGAGGGGGAGGCCAGCGGAGGCGCTCTCGACGGGGAGATGGAAAGATGGGGGATGTTCCAGGGGTAGCTGGCCTCCAAGGCCGATTCCCTTGGAAGGTCTCTTTCATCTTCAAGTAACCTTTAGAAAGAAAGAGAGAAGTTACTACCCAGGCATCCCGCTATCTATTACCTTAGCCTTTGCCTTTCCCAGCTAACATTTCCTTTAAAGACAAAAACGTTCTGTCCTATATAACTAGTATTTGAGTTGTGGTTTAAGATTTATAATAATATAGGGACAGCTAGGTGGCGCAGTGGATAAAGCTCCACCCTTAGAGTCAGGAGGACCTGAGTTCAAATTCACCCTCAGACACATGATACTTACTAGCTGTGGGACCCTGAAAGTCACTTAACCATGACTGCCTCACAAAAAAAAAAAAATCACAATAAAATACCTTTTTCATAATCCTGTGAGATAGGAAGCTGGGAAAAATCAAGAGCAAAACATATGGGAGGCAAAACTCCACATATAATGAGACAGACAAGGGACCAAGATTACCCTGTCCTTCACATCTCCATGACAGGCAGTCTACTTAGCTGTGAGACTTCCAATCAACATTTAATCATTAATTATCTAGACTAATTTCCAATAGAAATATTGTTCAAAACAAGTGATTAAGGCTACCACTGCTGAAATAGCTTTCCCCTCTATCCAAGGGTTTTCTCCCTCAAATATGGGTCCCTCTAGAAAGAGCAAACTCTAAGTTTTACTCTTGAAAGTTCCCCCATTCAAAGCCTTCCATCACAAGGCCTCTCTACTTCAACTTTCATTTCCTCTTCTCAATCCTTTCTCCCCCCCAAACCTATCCCTTTAAACAAAGGGAATTTAGCTCAGGCTACTGGATTACAGTGATGGTGATGGTATAGGATCTTAGGACTTCCTTTATTCACCTAAGAACAAATTTCTCTGGCTGTTTAATAACAATAAGGTATAGTCTCTCAAGTATACTGTGAGCATCATTAATAGGTAGGACTAGAATTCTGAAGAAATGACTGAGCTGAAAAATTCTACCTCTGAGACTTCAGAAAAGGGGAGTCAATATCCTCAAAAAGATGAATAGAACAGAGAACAAAGTTAACAGGTGACTACTATATACAAGAAGCAAAGGTAAAATGTGAAACTTTTGAAGAGATAAAATTACTTCTCTCTGGGATGGGAAAGGGAGTTGGAGCTAGGATAAAATACCAAAATTGGTTTAGTGAGAGAGGATTTTGAATGAATCTAGAGAAAGGAAATCAGGCCCTAAGGTAGGAAATAACTCGAAATATGGGGGGGTGGGCGGGGGCATGAGGGAGAAGAATATCTAATAGAGCAGATAAAATACAAACAATGCCTTCCCAGTTCCCATATCCACCCCTTCCCTTCCTCACTCTTTTCATTATCCCCTCTAAGCCTCCAGTGCTACATCTTCAAGCTCCACACCGTTCCTGGCCGCCATCACTCCCCCCCTCTCCAGCTCCTTTTTTTTCAAAACCAAAAAATGTTTCATTTTCTGGACACTGAGAATCCCTAAAAGTCTGCTGCCTTGGGTGGGGGCCAGGAGAAAGAGGTGGGGGGGAGGGGAGGTGGAGCTTGTGGAGCTCTACCTGAGGGGAGAGGAAGGAGGGCCCTTCCTGGGGTAAGGAGAGGGGAGTGGGAAGGAGGGGGAGAACTCATTCTAGCTTCGGGGGGCGGGAACGGAGGGGGGACCCTGTCCTCGATTTTCCTCGACCTCACATCTCACCCCGGAAAGAGGCAGGAGCCCCTCCAGCACGGGTGTGGTTAGAGCCGAGCATTCTGAGAGGGGAGGGGTCTCGCGGCCGAGTCCTCACCGAGGGAGCAGGAAGGGGAGCTGGAAGAGTAACGGGGAGGGAGTGGGAGGTGGGCCCAGGCGTCTCAGGCTCCCCGGCTCATCCCGGCGGCGGCTTCTTCTCCCTCCTGTCGCCTACGGGAGTTAGCGCTTCGCCTCCTCTGCTCGGGCTCACGTTCCTCGGCTTTGCAACCGCCACCGCCTCCTTCGCTCCCACCGCTGCTACCTTTCCCCTTTCCTTCTTTTCCCTTTTTTTCCCCTCCTCCCCCCCTCCTCCCCTCACCTTCTCTCCTCTTCTCTACTCTCCTCTCCCCTCCTGTCCCCTCCCCTCCCGCGAGCCCCTGGGCCACCGGGATTAAAACGGCGCTGGATTAATACGTCACCACCCGCCGGCGCGCAAGCGCAAAAGTCCTTCACTTCTCAAAAGATACCCAGCCGGCACTACGGTCCGGTCCCGCCTTCTTCCCTAAAAGTACTCTCCGACCCGCAGCGGTCCATTCCCACGCCGGCACCAGACTGCGCGTGCGCCTCTTGGACCCCGCCCACTTCTCAACAGGCCCCCTTGCTCTCCTCCCCCCCCACTTGTCACCGGGTCCTAACCGCCGATTTCTGGGAGGGGAGCGGATCGTGCTGGGACGCCCGCGGCCTCGAGCCTGAAGGAAGGAGCTGCCCCGGCTGCAGCTCGAGGCTGGCGCCGGCGTCAGGGCGGGTCAGACTTTGGGAGCGTGCGGGACACCCCACGTAGGGGATATTGTAGAGGATGAGGATGATGATAGGAGAAGGTGTAGAGAGCCAAAGCCTCCCCTTTACTGGGCGTAGTACGGAGCGATTCGGGCAGCGATGTCTCTGGACACGTGGCATCGAGCCCAGCAGCTTTCTGAGTAAATGCCTTATTTACTGAATGAGTGAATGAAGATGACAGGAAGAGGCCCTTCCTAAGAAGAATGGGGCATGGACCAGCTCTCCTGACTAGATAATCCCTACAGTCTTTTTCCAGTTTTGACATCCAGTGATTTTACGAAGTAAAAGCCTAGGAAGGGTTGTAGGCATGAGCATCAATCTATGGAATCAAATGAGATACTGCATGTAAAGCACTTTGCAGGCCAATGGGCAGAGTAATGAGGCATAATGAATGTTGAGGGGTTGAGAACCGAAGTTAATGGGATGTAGGGACAAGGACAAGGGAGATAGTTGGGTTGAGGAAGATTGGGGAACTGGGTTAGGAAGCACATGATGCTTTGGGAGAAATAATCGGAGCCGACTGCTACATTCACTTTTATTTGATACTTATTCAGGCTGAGTGATGGATAAACAGAAAAGGAGAGCCCATCAAGGAATGGCTGTGGAGGCTAGGCAAAGTTTAGATATGGTGTGAAGTCCACATAGATGTCTTCAAGTGTCAGGTAAAGTCTAGTTAGTGATATGGATGGAGCATCGTGCCAGAAGAGCAAGAAAGAATCTAAATGAAGTATGCAAGGGAAGGAATGTGGTATGGAAGGATAAAGGGAGATGGCTACTTAATACCTGTGTCTTTGGACTCGTTTCCTTATTTGTAAAATCTTCTGGCTCTAAGTTCTATAATTCTATGATGTTGCCAAGTGTATAACCTTATGCAAATAGATCTTAGGATCACAGATTTAGATCTCTGAGGTTATGCAGTTCAGTCTTTTCATTTTACAGATGAGAAAACTGAGGTCCAAAGGGTGTAACTGCTGTATAAATGCTTTTACAATAAGGAAAATGAAATATGGAGTGTACAAATTTGAGAATGGTGCACCAGGTGAAAAATGAGGCATTATAAAATGTGTAAGAAATGGACTCTGAAATCAGGAATTATGCAATATGGGAAACTGGGAATATATTTAATATTTTGGAGTGAGGTGTTGTGGAGTTAAGGTGAGCTAAGAGGGTAATGTCCCTAACTTGCCACTAGGCGGTACTGCTGTTGTGGAAGAATTCCAGTGGTACAAGATAGGTTGGTGAATAGGATGCCAAAAAGAATTGGGGCCCGGAAGGTGATAAAGAGATCAGGTTCTTTATCCTTCCCCCCTAAGTTTGTCCATAGGAGTGGGGAGAAAAGAGGGAAGAATAGAAGGAAAACAGGAAGAGAATTACATCAAAATCAGGAATTAGTCTCTGTTCTAAAGTACTAGCCCTCTGCCTAGTCTACCCCTTGGCTATCTTGAGCATGTATATGTCCACTCTTTTTCTCTATGCTCAAAGTTTCACCAAACCCAGGAAAGTGCCATGGGGAGTGAGATCAAGTTTGGCTCCTGCTCGAGGAATTGTGAGACTCAAAATGTCCCCTTGGTATAGCTGGAACACACCTGAGAAGGGGAGAAAGAGGAAGAGACACTTCAGAGAACCATATATCCCTTTCAAGGACCCAGATACTTTATCATCACTTTCCTCCTCTTTAGTCCTTGGCTCTCTGCATCCCATCTCCCAGCACCTATTTTCTTACCTCTTTTTTTTCCCTACTTTTGCAGGGATTCAGGCAGTCATTCCAGCCTTCAGTTTTCTGTTACACATCCCAGATATCCTCATTTTTCTCTTGACAGTGGGCATTCCTCCTCCCCCCACCCCTCCTAAGACCCAGGAGTTTTGCCCCAGCTCACCCTTCTTAGCCTTCATCTTTGCCCCCTCACCTGCAGTATAGCAGCTGTTATAGGCCTGGTGGAGGTTGGAGGGCATGCTACAGACACATCGGGATAGGATCTCCCTTCCTTGACCCTCCCGATACACCACCTGACCCATGGTGAAGGTTACATCATGAAACAGCACCTGGCAGATCAGGGAGTAGTAGGGAGAGCAAAAAGGCCATTAAAGAAGGGAAGCAGTACCTTGTGGCTTCTGAGTCATCCAAGAAGGGAAGGAGTTAGACCTTCTACCATAATATGGGAGGTAGAAAAGAAGGGTCCTCTATGTTCTGATCTGAGCAGGGGGGCTGGGATATATTGCCTGTGATCCCAAGGGAACCAAAGAATTCTGAGGAATGTGATGGAAAACATGCGACCTTATAAGGCCATAGATGAGGGGTCCTTATGGCATTTTGTTCCTTTATGGAAATGATTATTAAACTGATAGATTCCAGGGTATCAATAAACTTAGATGGGGGAAAAATTACATTTTTATTTCAATATAATTGGTTTTCTATGTAATCCTATGTATTTTATCTTATATAGTTAAAACATTCTGAGAAAGGCTTTCAAGGGCCTCACCAAACTGCCAAAGAGGTACATTACTGGAAAAAAAAAAGGTTAAGAACCCCTGCTGTGGGATCAAAGTATCTCAGAGGCTACCTGGCTGTACAGGAGATACATTCCAGTCTCCCGGACTCCAACAACATGTCCTTGTGGTTCCAGACCTCCACCATGCCTCAGTGCTGGCTCCCACATTATCTCTGTCACATCAGAATCCTCTAGAGGTAAGGGGTGGTGTGGCTATCAGAAGGACTCCCTACTCTGCACCCTAAGATTTAACCCTGACTAAGGCTTTCCCACCCACAGCTTCCATTCCCCTTGGGGACCCATGGATCCATCCCCTTGACCCCAGTTTTCCCTGCCTCCTTAAGCCATCATCCAAAATGACACTCACCTCTAGAGGTACTGTTAATAGGAATAAGGTGCAGAACTGAACGTTTTCCTAAGGGAGAAAAAGGGGTGCTTTCAGCTGTATAACCTACTCCTCTTTGCCCTAAACTCTAGCCACACTCCTCCTCAACCTTAAAACAGGGGCCAATCCCCATGGTCTTTGTTTCTTCCCCATGAAATCTCACTCTTGTGCTGATGTTCTTGGGTGAAGACTTCTCTCTTTCTTCTAGACATTTCCTCTTCCTTCAGTTCATCAGTGCCCTGCTTATAGAGAAAGAATCAGGATTAAACTGAATCTTAGGGGTCCTGCCCCATCAAATTTCTACTTCTTCCTCACCCCCCAAGCAACCTTCCCTCTGAGTCACATCTCCTACACTCCTTTTCAAGCTCCAAGTGTTCAGCCTGATGGCTGTATTCCAGCATCTGCTAGATTTGATAAGCTTTTACTGAAAACCTGGACTTTCCCCTAGCTTCCAAACCAGAGTGCTTCCCCAGTACCCCACTTTAGGGTTAAGAGTTCAGAGTGTAATGGGGTATGAAAAGGCAGAGATTAACCAACTGCCAACTGCACAGGAATTCAGTTCACCCCAGTCCCATTTTTCCCAATGTCCCTCCTTTTTCCCTCACTCACCTGCTTGTGGAGGATCAGCACGGGCTGCCTGTCACCCTTCTGATGAGACCCTCCATTCCTTTTCAGCTGGGCCACCTCTCCCCTCAGGGTCTGGAGCTCTGCTTGCTGGGTTAGTAGTGCCACCGCACAGGCTGCCACCCCCAAGGCTGTCCCCCAACTCAACCAAAGGGAAACCGAGAGTGCTGGGTCCCGGCTTGGACCCCCTATTTGCCCAGGGGGTAGCCTGGGAGATAGCAAAGAAGGAGACATGACTAGCCTGAGGACCCTGCCAGAAGCTGTGTGTCACAGCAGAGGGTGGCGGAGGTGGGGGGAGAGATAGAAAGGAGGAAGAAAGTTACGCAAGGGAAAAGTAAAAGGGAACTTGAGAAAAGAGGGAGGAGGAAAGAAGATATCGTCCTATTTCTCAGGTGCCCCCAAAATTGGACCTGCTGATCACCTCAAGATCCACCCCCACACACACCTCCTTTACATCCCCAAGAGGAGAAAGAATGGGTTTCAGTCGCCCAGGCAATGAAAGGATGGCTGCCGACAGACACATCACACAGCAATACTCGGGGAAAATGGACTGAAGGGGAGGGACGGAGGGGGTGGGGGCAGCCCCAGAGATGGGGGAGGGAGACTTAGAGTTGGAGAAGAGAGTTTTGTGGATGGATGGAATCCCTTATTTGAGCAATGGGAAAACAGCTTTTATGGGTCGGGGAAGAGATTAGGTGGGGATAAGTTTAACACCGGGGGATGATGGGGGAGGGAGGAGGTCAGGACTTGGAAGCAATAAACTGGCCCAAGCTCTGGGGTTATGGCTAGGACTGGGGTGTGTTGGAACATGTCCTGTTACTCCCTGTGCTGAACTTGGCAAGCAATTGACTTCCTGTTTCCAGAGAAAAGTTCTTACAAGAGGTTACCAGAAAGAAACAACACTGAAATAGTCCAGCCAAATTCTCTCTGCTCTGGACAAGGTGATCAGTCTTCCCAAGTGCCCTCCTAGGGCAGCTTGTTTGCTGGCTTGAGTCCCCCCACCCCACCCCACCCCACCCCACCCCCTCCTATCCCTGTTCTGAAACCAGAAAACTCCGTCAGATCTCACTCTCTTCCCTGTGCCCACACCTGTTGCACGTACTAGAGGCAGCCAAGAGGAAGTCCTGCCCCACCTATCTCAAGGGATTCCCCCTCCAGAAGGAAACAGGCTTAATAAGTAAATGAAGCAAAGTTCTGTTGTACCTTGGTCAGAGGACTAATTTCTCTCTTACAGTTTGGGTTCTGTGTAATGGAAAGTGCTCTGGATTTAGAGTTGGAAGACCTGGGTTCACATCCTGTCTCTGTCATTTATTCCCTGTGTGACTCTAGAAAGTCACTGTCCTTTCTGGTTTCATTTATAAAATTAAGGGATTGGACTAGATGGTCTATAAGGTCCCTTCTAACTCTAAGATCCTCACTTCAGGCAGCATGGTTTCTGCTTCTGGTTCTTAGAACCTTCAGGAATCTGTATGTCCTCCCTCCTCCCTCCAAAGCACCCAATTCTCCTCCAACCCTCATTCTCTTCAAGTACTACTCTGGTCCCTAAACCTCCCCTCCCACCCCTACCCTATCAAACAGAGGCTGTCACTTTACCTTTTTAATATCCATTACCAACAATTCATTTCAATAATAATAAAAATATCTTTTTAAAAATCCACAGGGATTTTAGCAGGGAAGAGAATAATCTTCATCTTCTACCCCTCAATTTTGGAACCCACCCTACCTCCCCACAAGTCTCCTTAGCTTCCCCGCACCCCACCCAAGTCTCTCTGCTTTTCAGGTCCAGTACCCCTGCGTGAGAAGTAGGTCTTCCAGGGCCCCATCCAGGCATTTAGGATTTTCCAAACACATTGCCTCCACAAGGAAGGCAAAGTAGGATAGAAGATTGAGGGACCCAGGACTGGAACTGAGTGGTAGGAGCAAGGGGGAGGGGCAGGGGGAACAATTAAAGTTAGTGGGGTAACTGAGGACCAGAACTGAGCAGTAGAGGTATGGAGGGAAAGGGGTCATGGAGAGGGGGAAAAGCCAAAGGAGATCAAGTGTGGTAGAAGAAATATTGGGAGTGCTTTGGGGGTAACTGATAAGGAGACAGGAGCAAATTAAATTCATAAAAGCCTGGAGATGGGAGGGTCTGAGTTATAAGAAGTTAGGGTTAGGAGGAGCACTGCTGTGAGGAATTGGGGGAGGGAAAGACAAAGTTGTAGGGCCTGATAAAAGGGAGGAACAGTGTTATTTGGGGGAGGAGCAAGAAGAAGGATGGACAGAGCTTTGCCTGGAGTCTAGGAAAGCAGTTTTGGGGTTGAGGAGCATCACTGCACTTGGAAGAGTCCAAAGTAGGTAAGGAAGGGGGCAGCCTTGAGGTGTGCCAAGGGGAGAGTGCGGATCTTCAGGGAGACTCCTGGCCGTAGGAGCAGTAGCCCTGACACCTGGCAGAGCCTGAGTTGTGGGCCTGGGGAGCTGGCTGCTGTGGCTGAGAACTCTTCCAGGCAGCGCAGAGCCAAGGAACCATCCACAAGCAAGTCCAGCTTCAGGTATACAGCCTTCCCCTCATCAAAGTGTACCTAGGAGGGGATATAAGAGGGCAAAAGAGTGCAGGTGGAATCTAGACCTTCAGCTACCCATTAGCCCTACCCCGACCCCAGCATTCTAGCAACTTGGGCACTATGTATTTCCCAAGCCTCCACTCTTCTTCTTTCTTTGGCTTCTTCCTTCCCTCCCCTGCCCATCCTTTCCACCTTAAGTTTTGGTTCCCGTCAGGGATCTCACCTGACAGTACAGGTAGTAGAGGCCAGCCCTGGTAACTGTAAATTCTGCATTCTTGGCATCATAGCTCAGTGGATTGGTGCTGTTGATCTTGGCCTCCTCCCAGCCACTCACTGTCCCATCCATACCTGGACAAAGATACAAACTTGATGGGTTGGGGGAGGAGAGAGAGGATCCTTTCATAGGCCTCTCCATCTTTCTCTTATACTCCCAATTATAATTGATAAGCTTCAGTCCATGATATACAGAGACTTATGCAAAAAGAAACAGAAGATTCCACACAAAAATCTTCACTCTTAGAATCTCAAGAACATTCCTGTTCTTTGTAGAACTTTATATTTGGGAAGTTAAAAAGTGGGAAAAAATGACAAACACCACTGTAACAGCAAGGACAAAATGGTACAATTTTAATGCAAGATGAATATGTAGCAACAGAAAAAAAATTACCAAAAATGAGGCTAATCAGGGAAGGTTTCTTGGAGGAGGTGAATTTTAAACTGGGTTTTGAAGGAAGGGAATGACAGAAAAAAGGAGGAATTGGGGTGATGAGCCATTTGATGGTACTATCTTGAAGGCTGGATTGAACACAAAGGACAGTTTTCAGAGGTATTTATTGATTACTTACTATGTATTTCACAATGTGATATGGGTAATACAAATGAAAGAAATTGAAAAGTGCCCTTGTATACAAAAATATAGCAGCTTTTTTCACAGCAGCCCCAAACTGGAAACCAAGGGGGTGCCCACTTATTAGTGAATGAATGGCTAAACAAATTATGGGCATTAAAATGTGATGGAATATCATTGTGCTGTAAGAAATGACAAAACAAACCATTTCAGAGGAAACTGAGTCCTCTATGTACTGATGAAAATGAAGAGAGAACTCAAAGAACAATTTATACAAGGACAATAACATTATAAAGAAAATGAGCCAGTTTTGATCATGTTGAGTTTGATATAACTATGAGATAAGTGGTTTGAAATGTCCACCAGGCAGTTGGTGATATGGAACTGGAGCTCAGGAGAGAGACTAAGGCTGGATATATAGATCTACATAGAATCATCTGCATAGAGATAATAACTGAACCCATGGGAACTTACAAAATCCTCAAGTGACATAGTATGGAGAGAATAAAAGGTCCCAGGACAGAGTTTTGGGGAACATATACAGTTAGTTGGTTTGATTTGGATGAAGATCCTGCAAAGGAGTCTGGGGAATGAATAGGCAGGTAGGAGAACCAAGAAAGCACAATGTAATGAAAACCCAGGGAGGACAGAGTACCTAGGAGGAGAAGGTAAGCAAGTGTCAAATGCTACAGAGAGGTCAAGAAGGATGAGGATTGAGAAAAGGCCATTGGATTTGGCAAGTAAGGGATCATTTGTAACTTTTGAGAAACAGCACTTTCAGTGAAATGATGATGTCAGAAGCTAGATCGAGGAAGGCTTATAAGAAAATGAAAAGATAAAAATGGAAGCACAGAGTACAAAGTTTTTTCAATGAGTATAGCTGAAAATGGAAGGAGAGATAAAACAACTAGCAGGGATGGTAGGATCAATCAAGGTTTTTGTTTTTTTTTTTTAAGGATGAGATAGAGACATAGGCATGTTTGTGGGCAAAAGGGAAGGAATCTACTGATTCCTTCTACTGATCTACTGATAGAGATTAAAGATTAGAGAGAAAGTAGAGGTGATAGTAGGGGCCATCTGCTGGAGAAGACAGGAGGGGTTATTATCAAGGGTGCATGTTGACAGATTGGAATTGGCTAAGAGAAAGGACATCTCTTCCTCAGAGATTTGAGTGAGGGAAGAGACCGAGGAGGAATGACGTCATAGCGATGTGAAATGAAATGAGGAAAAGTGGGAACTGTCACGGAAAAGCCTCAGTTTTCTTAATGAAGTATGAGTTGAGGTTCTCAGCTGAAAGTAAGGTAGAAAAGTATGCTGTGGGAAGCTCAAGGAGAGCCTTCTTCAAACGAGAAGGTTTGGAACAGCCACTGTTGGGAGTGGGATAGAGAACTGATTAGGGAGAAATAGGATTACTTTGCTACAGTGAGGTACCAGTTGGGGTCAGATAACAAATTTGTGGTAGACTCAATCAGTGTAGTTTCATGACTTTTTCAATAATACATGATTAAAAACAAAGGAAGCAAATGTCAGAAATAATCAAGGGTTGGGGTTTGGCAAGACATGATAGGCAGTAGGACAAGGGGGCAAGGGATTAGAGAAAAGAGGATAGTGTAGGGTTGAACTGGTTCACCAAGGGGTTGAAATTGGGAACATTGTAGCCAATGTAGGGATAATGGCCTGGGAGAATAATGAAGGGTGGAGGTCCTGATAAGGGATAAAGAATAGGATTAGTAGTCATAAAACATAAGAAAAGATAGAATGATTGGAAAAAACAAAAGGTGTTCATGAACATGGAAGTGGAACATTTGTGGGTAATACAAGATCAAGGGTATATAGGGTAAATGAGGTGGAGTGGAGGAGTAGGTCATGGGAACTGAGTAGAATGAGGAAGTAGGAAGTAGTAGAATATGGAACTCTATCTACTACACCACCTGGGCAGTTGTTGAAGTGAGCAGTGGATAGAGTCATGGACCTGGAGTCAAGAAGACCTGAGTTCAGTTTACTCTCAGATACTTACTAGTGTGTGATCCTGGCCTCAGTTTTCTCATCTGTAAAATGAGGATGATAATAATAATAGCACCTACCTCCCAAGATTGTTATATGGATAAAATAAGATAATATTTATAAAGCAATGTGACTGGGAAGTTAGGTTATTTGAGACAAAATCAACATTTATGTTGAAGGCCTCTAGTGTAAGGATCCAGAAGATTTGGGATTTGAGTTGGGCTTTGAAGGACGAATGAGAAGAAGGAAAAGGGAAGGAAGGCAACCTAGGTAGGAGAAAAGCATGAGAAAAAGCTTAAAGTTGGGATGAGAATGGCATGTCAAAGGGCAGCCTAAAAGGTCTACCAAGCTGGAACAGTGGGCTCATGAGAAACCACTATGGATTCATGAGTGACATAATGGTAATTATATATAAATAAAGTAATTCTCATTGTTGTGTGTGTTTTCAAGAAGCAGATCATTTCACCAAAGCAAAATGGCAAGAATGTCTTTGTCCAGTACTCAATACAGCAGTCTTTATTAAATAATTTGTGCAAAGGCTAGGGCACAATGGAAAGAGCCATAGACGAAGTCAGGAGAAATGATTTCAAATTTCAATGGAGTTTTCCCCTCTACTTAATGAACATGAGCAAACCACTTAACCCCCTGAACCTTAGGTTCCTCATTTATAAACTGTAGTGCTTGCCTCACAAGGTTTTTGTGAGAGTCAAATGAGGTTAAATATACAAAGTGCTTTGCAAATCTTAAGGTGCTATATGTTTGTTATTAGTTGTTCATTCATTTTCAGTCACATCCAACTCTTCCTGACCTCATTTGGGGTTTTCTTGGCAAAGATATTAGAATGGTTTGCCCTTTTCTTCTTCAGCTCATTTTACAGATGAAGAAAATGAGATAAACAGGGTTGAATGACTTGCCTGGGGTCACACAACTAATAAGTGTCCAAGTCCAGATTTGAACTCAGAAAGATGTGTTTTTGTGACTCCAGGCCCAAGACTCTATCTGCTTCCCAGCTAGCTGCCCCACTGTATGTCATTGGCCACCCTCTCCAGTACCCTCGCCATTTCCTTCTCTCATGCCCCTCAACACCATGGACCTGGAGGAAGAGTTGATCTTCTCCTTGCTCCTCATTGCTACTTCCAGATCATTCTCTTGCCACCATCATTCAGCAACTTCTTCTTCACTGAAGTTCATGCCTTTCAATTCTATCACCTGAAATAATTCCTTGTTCCAATTATTGGTAGTCTATCTCCAAATCATTCTTTCTTTCTCAGGAAGTTCGGTACCTGGTCCACAGTCTTCCTTCCCACCTAAAACCTGGCCCTCAAACTTTGGGACTTCAGTGGTGTTCCCTTTAACATCTTGGTATCCTATTTCATCAACTTGGTTAGCTCCCATTACCTACCTTCACCTTAGCCACCCACAGAGATGGCTATATGTTAGATCCCTCTTTGACCTTGAACTTTGAAATTTTTTTCTCTAATCATAAGCTCCTATTCTTCCATCTTAGCCCCTACTCCACTTCTTTTAAATCTATTCTTTGTACTTACTATGACCTCTATTCCCTTCACTCCATCCTGTTCTTCCAGTCTCTCACCCCTGCTCTGGCTTCATTTTCCTCTTTTTTCAGATGTGATTATGTGGTTGACCAACTTAAGTATGCATTATTATCCACTCTGGAATCCCTTGCCACCTCAGCCAGTTCAGACCTTACCAAACCCCACTCTTGGGGTTTTACCAATCATTTTCTCTACTTGAGTGTTGCTGAATACTGCTAGAGGAAGTCACAAAACAGTGCCAATTGGGCCCAATACAAATTCATGTTATTTCATCTCAACTGTACTCTCATTGCTTCATGGCAATTTTTATTCTTCCCCAGTTGACTCTCTGTCACACTTCCCAAAGGGGTTATTCCAAACCTTCTCTCCTCAAGCCCCCTTCATCTTTCTCAGCAAAGAACTTCCCATCCTACTTTACTGGAAAAAACAATATCATCTGCCATGAGCTCTCTCCTCTCACTAACTTTACATTTCAGGGAACTACCTTTGAAGGAAACTCTCCAAAGTCTCTCTCCTGGAGCACCATCCTTAGACTCATGGCTGGGCTGGAGCTCTGGGAGCTCTGGCAGGAAGTGCTGAGATTACCCCACAGGTGGCAGGGGTATGTGCTCTGCCCTCTTTTCGACCTGCTACCTGCTTCTTTGGCCTGTCTCTCCCGGGATATCTGCAGGACTCCAGTGGGGGGAGGGGTGTTGGGGAGGCTTCTCTGTGTATTCCTGGGTTGGACCAGGGAGTCTAGGTTGATAGTTGCCAATGATCTCCCAATTGCAAAATTTGATGGCTTTATCCTGCTTAACCTCTCTGTAGTTTTTAATATAGTTGCTACCCCACTCTTCCTATATACTCACTCCTCCCTAGGCTTCTGTGAAATTATTCTCTCCTAGTTTTCTTCCTACCTGTTGGATCACCAGATCATCCCCATCTCCCACTCACTAACACTTAGCACCTCTCCACTTTCTGGCCTAGGGCTTCTTCTCTGTATAAACTCTCTTGGTGATCTCATCAGATTCCATAACTTCAATTATCATCTCCATATAAATGACTCTCAAATCTATATCGCTAGCCCTAATAACATTCCTGAACTCCATTCTTGTATTGACAGTTGTCTACTGAACATATTCACTTGGATGACTTGTTATCTATCTATATGCTCAGCACTTGCTAGGGCTACAAAATAAGAATAAGACAGTCCCTACCTTCTAGGAACTTATAAACTAATTGAGGAGATAAGGCTATCACCATTCCCCTCCCTCATAAAAATGAAGATGATATATAATTAAGTGCTAAATGTTGTGGTATAGATTATAAATGTCTACAAGAAGAGATCAAAGTGGGCTGAAATAAACAAGAAAGGTTTCATGGAAGAGGTGGAATTTGAGTTAGACTTTGAATAATAGGTGAGAATTGGCTAAACAAGAGTGTATGAGATGTACTTGTGGCCTGATTAGAGGGAAGGATTTTTATTGGGAAATAAGGTTAGAAACACAGGCAAAGGGGTTGCCTGTGTTCCCCACTTATTTCAGTGGGGAATAAGGGGGCACCAAAAATCCTGAGGAAAGATGGGACATAATTAAAGTGGGATGAAAGAGGACAGCTCAGAATAACCTCTTTATTGTATAATAAATTAGAGTTTGGGACCTATATTGGAGGTGGGACAGTAGAGAGGAAAGGACATAAATAAAAGAAAACTCAACAGGTGACTCACTAGATATAGAGAGATGAGAAGTCTTGAAAAGTGAAATTCCTTTCTCTGACCACATTTCTTCTGTTCCCATATTACTCTTAAACAAGTTTTTTGTCTTTGTTTTGACTTCCATTCTCTCACTGGCTCCTTATTTTCCCAGTCTATCATCCTATTCTGGCTTTACTTGCCTCCCTACCTAGACGGTACCCACTGTACAAGCTACAAACTTCAAAGAATATCTTTTGACTTCATATGCCCTCTCCCCTTCTCTCCACCTCAAAACCTCTTTCTACTTTGTCATCTCTCCCTTTATGTCAATGATGCAAAAGTATCCTTTCATTTTGTCAAAGTTAACTTTCACCTATGTTCTTGTATCCTCCTGTCCTCTCCTGCTTCCTCTGGGACCTATTATTCCTTCTGTTGTGTATTTCAGTCTTTCTCTTGACTAGTTCCTTCCATTCTGCCTACAAACATTCTCAAGTCTCCCTTATTGTTAGATTTTCCTTGACTTTGTTATCCCTTCAAAATATGGTCTTATACTCCCTCCTTTCACTATCAAACTTCTAGAAAGTGTAGTCTGCATTCAGTGCCTTAATTTCCTCACTACCCTTTTACTTTTTTAAAAACCCTTTACAATTTGGCATTCACCACCCACTGCTCCACTCAAAATGTTCTCTCCAAGTGACTTCTCTAGTGACCTTCTAATTACCAAGTCCAATGGCCTTTTTTCAGTCTTTGTTTATAGCACTTGACATTATCTCCCTCTTGAAGTTGTCTCCTTTCTTGGTTTCTAAGACATTTCTACCATAGTTCTTATCTTACTTTCAGTGAGCTCTGATTTCTGTTTCTTTCAATTTCCTTTAATGATTTCTCCTACAAGTAGATATTCCCTCAGGTTTTGTCCTTGACTTTTTTCTTTTCTCCTTCTGTCCTTCTGAAATCTCATTCATTCTTTTTTCCTCCAATAATTTTATTTTCAGTTCCAAATTCTCTCCCTTACTCCTTCCCTCTCCAACCCATAGAGAAAGCAAGAAAAACAAGACCCCTTACAAATATGTATAGTCATGTAAAACAAATTATCACATTAGCTAAAAACAGAGAAAATAGGCTTCAGTTTGCACTATGAATCCATCAGCTCTTTATCTGGATGGAAGTGGATAGCATGTTTGACCTTGAGTCTTCTGGAATTGTGGTTTAGTCATTGTGTTGTTTATGCTTAGTCTCTTCCCACCCCACCCCCATCAGAGTTACAGTCTTCAAAGTTGATTATCTTTACAATATTGTTGTTACAGTGTTCTGGTTCTGCTCACTTCACTTTGTACCAGTTCATAAAGTCTTTCCAGGTTTTTCTGAAAGCATCCCTTTCACCATTTCTTACAGCACAATAATCTCATTCATTCTTATAGCTTTGTGTAAATGATTTACAAATCTATGTCTCTAGCCCAACCTCATTTCTAAACTCCAGAACTGAATTTCCAACTATCTGCTGAATATCTCTGCCTAGATATCTAGCCAGTACCTCAAAATCAGTGTGTCCCAGTATGATCTGATCTCCCACAAACCAGCTCCTTCTGACTTCTCTATTAGCACCACTATTCTCCTAGTCACTAGTCAAAACCTTGGAGGTACCTTCTTCCTACAGCCAATCGGTTTCTAAGTCTTAAAAATAAAGGAGATATGGACACGCAAAAGGATGCCCCACTCCCTTTTGGGAATTCAGTATCTACAACCCTTTATCAATTTTTGACCCATCACTCCCTCCCCCACTCCCTCCCCCATTTGTCCATCCTGTCCATTTCTATGGCCACTACTCTACTGTAAACTATATAGCCTGGCATTCAAGGCCTTCCACCAAGGAGTAGAGATTAAGAGGTTGGGGGAATTGGGCAGAAAGCCAAAAGCTGAAGGAGATTGATCCTGTATAACTTCAAGAAACAGCACAGAAAGTGGAGTCCATCACTTACCAGCCTGAGCTCCATCCAGCCCTGCTTTTGCACGAACTACAAAACACAGGTATATTGTTACTTAAGGAGGAGAGTTCTTGATTCTGTTTCCCCAACACTACTACCAACTCAGGCATGCCCTTCCCACTGTTCCTATCTCACCTTCATAGTGGGCTGCATTCACTTTTCGAGTCCGAGCTTTATGACCCTTCACAGCTAAAAATAAAGAAAAGACAGATGAGCAAAGGCATTCTTTCTGGGTACCCACAGGTCTGATTTCCCCAGACTCTACTATCTTTCTGGAGTTTAGACCTTCACCCCAGGCCCAGCCAGTTCTTATCCTATTCACCAGCCCCTACTCCCTTCTCAGGATACACTGTTCCTCTATCTTTCCTACCACCTCCATATCTCGTTTGTGGTTGAACTCTGGTAAAAGTAAGGTTGGAATGGTGGGACACTTACCACGGGGAAAGCGTACTCTTCTCTTCAGGGTAGGAGCTAGATTCTGGCTTTGGGAAATCATTTGCTGGGGAAAGTAAGTGCAGATTTGAACCAGAACCTTGGCCTATATAGCCCCAACCCAATATCAAACTAAAGAGATACACAGATTAAGAAAAAATGACAGTAGGACAGAAACTTACAAAGTTTGTGGCTGAGTGTAGAGATAATTAGAGATAAAGTCAGGGGCAAACATAGCAACAGAATTTCAAAGCTGTTGGAGAAAGAGAGACATCTAATCCAACCGGCTCATTTTACAGATGAGCACACTGAGGCTAAGAATGGGAAAATGACTTCTCAAAGGTCATTCAGAAAGTGAGCCTGGACTTAGCACCATATTTTCCCTAGGATATTTCAACTTTAGGAAAGACTTAGTATTTCACCACATTTTTTTAAAATGTGGCTTGGGGTAAAGAGTAGACTGGGTCTGTTCCCAGGCTTTACTCCCTTTCCAGGACCCATAAGCCTCTTAGGAATCCAGGATTGTTCTGCCCTTAAACCAGATTCAAGGCTGCAGAGACACTCAGAATGAGTCACAGAGAGACAGGAAAAGAAATAGAACAAATAATGACAGACGGGGAGATACATCTCACACAAATAAACATACTCACCATCACTGCCTCAGCCTCCTTCTCCACCATCTCTTGCTGGGCTGGGTCCTATAGAGGGGAACAGGGGAGGACATTACATAGGAAACAAACCCTCTCCCTCCTCCACCTGATGCCTCACCCCTTGGCTCCTCACTTCCTTCTGACTAAGTTCGGTGCCTCATTTTCCTCCTGTGTCTCTTCAACCAGTTCTTCTGGCTAGTATTCTCACTCTGGCCCTTGCAAGTAGTCCTCTATTTCCAGGGCAAAAGGGATCTCACCTGGGAGAATGGGGATGCCTGGGTCCCCAAGCTGATAACCACTAGCAGGAGGCCGAAACAGGCAAGAGAGAGGCCCAGGGCCAGGACCAGGGTGGGTAGCAGGGCGGTGCCCAGCTCCCCTCTTCTCCCTTTCCGCCTCTGGCTCCTACGGGTGGCCATGGGGGTGGGGGGGGGCTGTGCTTCACAGCGCCCCCCCCCATCAGGACCGGAGGGAATGGGGGAGGGGAAAGTGGGAGGGAGCAGGCTGGAAAGAGGGAGGGGCAAGGGAAACGGGAGGGAGGAGGGGGATGAGGGACAGGAAGCGGACATGTGTTAAAAACGCAGAAAGCTTGTTAGAGAATGTTTGTTTTTATATGAAATGGAACTAAGTACGTTTGTCTTTTTTTTTTTAGATCCCTGATTAAAGAATGTATAAAACAATGATGAATATAAAACAAAGAATACTGTTTATGTTGGTGTGAAAGCTCTAGAGAGCATAAATCTGATTAGAGTATGTACAAAACTGAGATTAATTTGTTTGTTAAACAGAAATGAGTGTATGACAAATAGACATGAGAGGGTAAGTTTGGGAAGGAGGGTGATTAGTTTATGACATTGCGATTCCCCTGGAACTCTCCCTCTGTGCAATTACTAATTTAAGGCAATAGGGCTAACTATTATGCAACTGTGTGTTTCCTCTTATTTTTATATTTTCCCAGAACTAATTATTTTGCCTGGAATAACTCCATTATTACTTAGATTAATGTATGTTTAAATTCCTGTATATCTTACATTCCAATTCAGCAAATAAAGTTTGTGATTAGGGCAATTCAATTCAATTCAGCAAATATTATTAAGTTCCTATAGGCACTGAATTAGGTGCCAGGGTTATAAAAGACGGGAAAAAATAACTCCATAATATCCCTAACCTCAAATAATGGCAAGAGATTCTACTTATACAAAAATGAGTATGGTGCAAATGAGAATGTCTAAGGTGGAAAGAAGGAATGCACCCAAAGTGCTTTACGAGAAAGCAGAGATCACTTTCAGTTGGGGGGAGGGGTGTCAGCATCATCATCATAGCTTGCATTCATGAAGCACTTTAAAGTTTGCTAAGCACTTTTCATGGGTTAGTTAACTTATTTGATCCTTACAACAACTCTGGGAGGTCAGTGCTATTATTCTCTCCATTTTATTTTATAGATAAGGAAACTGAGGCAGAGCTTTTCCTGATTAGATCCATCATTCTATCCAACCCTCTCCTAAGCTTCCAGAAGAATATGCCAAGTGTAGGAAAAGGCTGTGTATTTGAATGCACAAGAGGTGAAAAGGACAAGACGAAAATTGAGCAATAGCTAGTAAGCTGTTATCGCTAGAAGAGGGACAGAATTAAAGGGCATAGTATGAAATAAAGTAAGAAAGATAGGTTGGATCCAGATTATAGAGGGCTTTTAAGTGTCAAAGTATTTCCTTGTGATCTTGGGCAAGTAATTTTCTTTTCTTTTTTTTTCCAATAAGAATAAAATTCAATTAAAAATCAGTGAAGATTAACACAGTGCATCCTTTCCAACGCAATAACTGGAAGGTGGCAAAAATGGAACTTCCATCACTGGGCTGCAGATGTCCAGTTCAACCCTACTCTGTAGGAGTGCCAACCCTCCCACACCTCTCTGACCCCCAAACCCCTCCTTTACCCATTTTACTCTGGCAACTATTTTGTCTTCTTGCTCTCTGGAGGCTCTGGCTACAGAGTGAAAGGACTGCAATCCTCCTCTAGGAGCACAGAGTAGGCACTTATGGAGAGATGTCCCCTGATAATAATCAGAAGGGCATCACCAACCCCACATTTCAGTTGCTTGGGCCAGATCCCTTCCCCCACTGTGGACACTGGGATTCACAGGGGCCTGGTAGCTGCTCCATGAGACACTCCAATGCTATTCTTCCCTGCTTTAATCCCAGGCCCTCCTTTCCCACCCCAAGGTAAAGGTAGTTCCTGGGGCCAGGTCAGGGCCAGTGCCAGGCATAGAATGGGTACCAGATAGCCTAGGCCCTAACAGCGCCCACTCAGAGATGGAGCAACCCCATACCCATGTGCCATTCCTTATCCTGGGTTCCTACTACATCTCAGTGGGAAAGTTTAAAGATTGGGAGTAGAGAGGGAAACAGCACCTGCTGCCCTATTTCTCTATTTGCATTGTACAGTGGAAAGATTGCTGGATTTGGAGTCCGAAAAACTCAATTCAAATGCTGACTCTCCCACTTCCTACTGGTGTGACCTTAGGTAGTCAATCAATCCCTCTGGGCCTTAGTTTCCTTGACTATAAAATGGTGGGATTGAAAAAGATGATCTTCAAGTTCCCTTTCAGATTTAAATCTATGGTATAATCCTATATCCAGTGGATACAGTAGAGGAATTATTTACATTATTTTAGGATTATGCTTTGTTTTATTTTAAAATAGTAATAAGTTCTTCACCTTATTTATTTATTTTTGGCCAGGCAATGGAGTTAAGTGACTTGCCCAGAGTCACACAGCTAGTGAGTGTCTGAGGCCGGATTTGAACTCAGGTCCTTCTGACTCCAGGGCAGGTGCTAGGTGCACCACCTAGCTGCCCCCTTCATCTTATTTAAATAGATGTAATGGCAATCTGGCACATGTACAGACATCAAAGAATCATGAATGAGCTTCATGGTTGGCTTCCCACATGGTTGGGAAGAGCCTTTTTTCATTGGCTAGGGAGCTACCTTACAAATGACCCAAGTCTGCATGGGCCAGGACTTTGACTGAATTCCTATCTGAGGGAGAAAGGCTGAGGTGTTGTAGTGCTTACGTGAGATAATAGATGGAGAGCACTTTGCAAACCTTAAAATGATGTGTAGGGGGCAGCTAGGTGGCTCAGAGGACAGAGCACTGGCCCTGGAGTCAGGAGCACCTGAGTTCAAATATGACCTCAGACACATAACACTCACTAGCTGTGTGACCCTGGGCAAGTCACTTAACCCCAACTGCCTCTCACACACGCACACACACAAAACAAAAACAAAACCAAAAAACAAACTGATATGTGCATGCTTGTTCTTAGTCTTCATTGTTATTTCTGCATTCCAGTCACCAGGTCTTTAGTCAGGTGATAACCTCATTCCCTGAGACTACTTCTGCCCTCCTGTTGAGCCTGAGTAAGGTTATAGAGCAATATAAGAGTGTGCCGGGAAATATTTAACAGAAGTCAGGAGGATGTATGCCCTTACAGTTTTAAATTTATTGAGCATTATTAACACTTTCTTAAGTCTAGAAAATCCATAAAACAATAGATCAAACCCAGATTTGTACAGATTCCTGCAGTGTGAATGCTCACACAGACCTGAACATAGTGGGACTAATGCCATTGTAAGAACTAAACTAAATTGTGGGAAATGTTTGTACATTTGTTCTTGCTGTATCTTTGAAGTAAATACTGCTTTGTAAAAGCTATCTGATGTTGTGGTTAAATGGAGCTGGGGAGCTAGTCATTGGCTCCTTAAAAATGGGGAGAACACAGCCAATGAAGGCTCAAGCTGATGGCAGAGAAAAAAGACTCCCAAATTGTGAGATTACTGGAGAATGTTGAAGGAGTGGAAAGATGCGATAAGCCTAACCTTGAGAAAACAGGACCAAAGTCAACCATGTTACAGAAAATGAGTTGCTGAAATTTGTGCAAATTATTTTATGAAAAATTGGAGTAGCATGGCATTTTTTATACAAAAAGAGGGGGGTGTTGTTAAAGTTTGGAAACCACTGCCTTAAGATAACCTTAAAGCTATCTTTGATTCCCCCTTCTCTTTAACCATTCATATCCAGACAATGACCAAACTTGATTGATTCTACCTCTGAAATCTCTTGAACCCATCTCCTCTCCATTTCCACTGCCAACACCTTAATATAGCACCCCACCCCACTGTATACTTACTTATAATAGCCTCCTAAGAGTTTTTCTTTCATCTACTGTCTGCCCCCTCCAATCTATCCATCATACAGCTGCCACAAAAAAACTTTATGCATAGATTCAGTTGAGTTCCTCTGCTCAGAAATCTTTAGTGACTTCCTGTTTCCTCTTGAGTTAAATTCATATTCTTTTGCCTAACATTCAAGATTTCTGTGACCTGGCACAATCTTACCTTTCCGCTTTAACAGATATTACTCTCCTTTTCAAACTCTATTCTCCAACCAAACTGGACTATTCTCTGTCCCGTATTGTAATTGAAATGTCCTTCCCTTCTTGTTTTCACCTATTGAATACATCTTTTAGAGCCCAGCTTAATGAGGAGAATTTATTATTGAAATAGAAATGGAAAGAAATGACCATGTCATCTTAGAGTTTATGATAGATAAGGAGGGGAAAGGTGGGCTTTGTTTGATATGCATTATAAAATTAAGGAGTGTGGTGCTCCCTTCTTTTTCTTTTTTGGTCTTAAAAAAATATTTTAGTTGTATGGGATGGCTCTCAGGGAAGGATACTGGTGATAACTAGGTGATAAAAAAATGTCAATAAAAATATTTAAAAAATTTTTTTAAAGAAACTGTAGTGACTTCTTATGTCCCAGATCTATATAAAAAGTCAGCCACAAGCCCACAAGCAAAAGGAAAGGGGGCCACCAGCAAATCGATGCCAGATCAAGCAAATAAGCCAATAGAAATGGGCCAGGTACCCTTCAGGGCTCTGTGTCCAGTGGATATAAGAGCAGAGGGGTTTTCTGAGAAAGTCTCAGGGTTAGGGGCCAGAAAGCCCCAGGGGCATCAGAAACCCATTGTGAGTGCATTTCCCTGGAGTCCCAGGGAGTAGACAATGATTACTACAACAAGACAGAGTGCAGTCTGGGAAAGTATAAGTACCTCCAAGGGGCTCCAAGGTCCCTAGTACTTTGTCTTGAGATGCCATAAAACAATGATGTCAAACTCAGATAGAAACAGATCCCTGGTGTCTGCGTACTGACTTAGAAAATCATAAATTAATATTAACTACATTGTATTAGATTTTTATTTATTTTGTTGAACATTTCCCAATTTTAATCTGGTACCTGCTTCTGCCCACCAGCAGCAAATTTAACAGCTCTGCTGTTGAGGACCTTGAGGAGCCAGTGCTGTGAACCTAAAAGATCCAACAAGGCCCAGACTCGGGGGGTAGAGGTCAGCACAGGAACCCAGATAGCACCAGATGAGACTAAAGCCAGGCCCAAAAGCATAATGGTGGGCAGAGCCTGGCTCTGGCACA